AAAACAAAATCCCTGGTGCACCATCTCTCCAGGAAATCCAAAAAAATAGTTCTAACAAGCACAGTCTGCAATGAACTTTGTCAATTGAATTTTTTTGTTAACAGCTGTTTTTTGATTAATTAAGCAGAAACAACAAAATCACACCTTGTAAGCATTTTGAAAGCAAAGGAAATATTTGTCACAGATTACTTCCACAACATAAAAAACAAAACACTGTAAGTACAGACTTGAATATTGGGGACAGAAAGAAATGCCGAAAACTTGATTCGCAGGTACTATCTCACAAATCACAAAGCACGTAACCAGTCAGAATTATAACTCACTGATGAACACGGTAGCCAAACTACATGAACTTCCCCACCGATTTGAGAACACAACTGCTTTTATCGGCCGAGTATTTCTTTTTCATTCGTCGACAGCTGGAAGACAACGCCCAATTTTTGTATATCAAAATACTTTTATAGCGACTTCTGCAACTGACTTGTTGTTAATTTAAATATTCCGTCTTCAGCATGTCATGCAGAATACATGCCCATTTGTTGGTAAGTAATTTTCTTTTTCGACATATTTTCCATTGTAGGATACACGCAACGCACTGTCGCTTGGTTTGACGAGGTAAATTGCTGTTTTCTTTGCTATACACCTTTTGCTTAAATAAGTCTTTGGTTTTGATTCAGAATGGGATTATGAAATAAATGACAAAAGAAATTGTTTTAGAATAAGAATAATAAACAAAAATTTGAAGTAAGAATATCTGGGAATCTTTAACATTCATGTCTGCAAAAAAATGGTGTGTCAAAAGGATGGCTTTTCCTTTGACACTGCTATTATTTTAACTACCTTCACTCCTCAGAAATATTTATTGTTTTAAAAAGTGAAGATTAAAATTGTAATAAAACCTAAACATATGAGGAAAGTGAATTTAGACATTTTTTTGTTCTTGAGAATTTACAACAAAAATATTAAACCCTTATTATTACATTATTTTTTATAATTTTATAATTAAAATATTCTAAAAACTGATGCAATGCAATATTTATCATTTACCAATTTATAAAGAAATAAATATGAAAACAATTTTTTATTCATAAATTTATAAACATTTACCAAATTATAAAAATATGTGAACCAACTCTAATGAAATCCTTATTATTTACCATTTTATAAAGTTTGAATCAATTGGTAATTAACCAATGTTTAACCAACCATTCCAATAAACAATCTAATAAATAATTAAAAATTGCCAAGGAGTGAAGCTAGTTAAAATAACAGTGGTGTCAAGGGAAAAACAGTCCTTTTCATTCACTGTTTTTTTTGCAGGTATGAAGGTTGAAGATTGCCAAATATACATTAAATTTACATTTTGCAGATGTTTTGAAATCATTTGGAATTTTGTATGTAAGTTTTATTTTAAAACAGTACAAGAAAAAGATAAGAATATGTTTTAAATATCTTATATATGGGGTGATTGAAGAGAAACTCCCTATTTTATATATGAGTGATCAGCTAGGTGTCCTGACTGGGATTTTTTCTTTGGGGTTGGTTAAAGGAGCAAGTCTACTATAGCAAACCAAGACTTTGGAAGAAATTGAAGAACAAATACAAGAAGTTTTGTCTTACATCCCACAAGAATTCCTGGTGAAATCAGTTGACATGATTCCTGGGTAGCTTGAGAAGCTGGTAGCAAAATCTGGTGCCTATATCGAATTTTAAATAAAACCTTATGCTGAATGCTTTCCTTGCATATCCATTTCTTGTAAAAATTATAGTTAATAAATAAATTATAAGTATTTTAAAATAGGGAGTTATTTTTCAATGGCCCTGTAGTTGTCCTCAATGGCCACTCTTCTAGACCCTTTCATACTAATGCAGGTGTCCCTCGGGTCTCTATCCTTGGATCAACTTTATTTTTAATTTTCATCAATGATTTATTGATGGCATCAGCTCTCAACTTAGTATCGACAGTGCTGTTTGATAAAAGTGACTCACCTGATTTTTTTTACTTAAAATTTTTTATGCCTATTGTTTCTGGGGTCAAACTAATTTTTAATCTTACTAATATAAAGACCCCTTCCCAACCACCTAGTAAAAAAGTTTACTCACCCTAAGGTATTCTATTGATAATTATAATTTTGGATATAAATGAGATTTAGGGAAAAACTCTATGCAAAAAAAGCGACTCACTTATTTCCTGCAACTAGTAATCAATAAAAACATAACCGAACAGCTTTAAATAAAGAATAATAGAGGTATAATTTATTTATAATAGGTAATATAGTTTGAAATATTTAATAATCTATGGGTCCTCCTTTATTTTGAATAACCTTTTCAACCCTTTTTGGCATTGACTTGATTAGGTTCTGGCAAATCTCATCTCCAAGCATTGAATTCCATTTGGATATGAAATTCACAATCAAATCCTCTTTGTTGCTCAACTGCTTTCTCGAGAGCCTGTACTTTATAATGCTCCATAAGTTTTCTATGGGGTTGAGGTCAGGAGATTGGGATGGCCATGTCATAACACTCACCTGCTTCTCATCAAAGTATTCCTTCATCAATTTGGATTTGTGACAGGGAGCATTATCCTGCATAAAAATGAGCTTGGTGGGGTCAATTAGCACCCTTTCAGCAGAAGGGAGCAGACAAGATTCTAAAATTCTCTTGTACTGCTCGCTCCTGAGGGTTTTTTCAATAGGTTTTAAGAAACCAGTTCCATGAAAAGAAAAGCATCCCCAGAACATTATACTGAACGGATGCTTGACAGTACTTACTGCTAAATTCAAAGAGCTTTCAAAGCTTCTTCTTTGGATTTTAGATTGCTTATCCTTTTGAATTTAGCACAACTTTCGTTTCATCGAAGAGAACATTTAGTAAAAAATAATCAGATGAGTCACTTTTATCGAACAGCACTGTATATGTTGCTCCAAGTTTCAAAGTTCAGATTTTATAAATGAGATTTAGTCTCTAACTTTACAGATCATAAGTTTCAGCTTAATTGTTATAAGAATAAAAAAAAATTCATAAATTACTTTTCTGTTAACTTGGGGTAAACTTGGCTAACTTTTCAGGAAGCATCAGTTGAGAAACACTTTGCTAGATTATGCTGTTTGTATTTCAGTCAAGGGCGTTTCTAATTAGTTGGTTGAAATATGACTTGATTGCCTAGAGGTTCTGAATATACATCTATTTTCTGAGATGGTGAAATTTTGGTCTACTTGTTATTATTTATTTGTTTTTATTTATTTTTCTATCGTTACAAGTGCCAGGTCAATCATTAGTGTGTTTTGGGTTAAAGGTTTTTCTCCTCCTGGATTTTTCTGGAAGGAAGTAGCAGAGGAGGAGAAGTTTTCCCACTGCAGTTGTAGTATATGTTCTGTGCTGGAGGCCTTTTCTCCTCCCTTGCGTTCCACTCACTGTTATGTGACATCTGTTATGTAGTGATGGGATGATCGGCTATGACTAGCTTAGACAAGTCATGACCAGCTAAGACAAGCTTTGACCAGCTTAGACAAGCTAAGACCAGCAGCCCGAGTGGTAATATTTCATAGCCTTTCCATTTTTTTTATTCTTTTTTTTTTAAGAACTTCAAAAAGAAAATTTGGATTTACAAAAAAGAAAAACAAAATCTAATTTTTTTGTTGAATTTTATCCTTAAGTCTTCAAGTAATTAATTAATTATTTATTTATTTGTATATGTATTTGTAAGACTCGGGTCTCCACATTAGAAAATGACCTTGTGTCACAACTTGACTTGATGGAGTTAAGAGGTGGCGGTGGGGGGCTTTAATTCCACGGAGAGAGCAAGTAAGAAATTCTATTAATGGAATTAGTTCGCATTATTTTCACGGGGTGGATCAAATTATTTGGGGGTGGGGGGTTCTAGGCCCTACTCTTGAAGACAAGAGTGCTAAATGCCTCCTTACTTGTGACGAAACTCAGCTTAGCAACTATTAAATTGGAGTTATATAATGAGAGTTATCTCCCTTGTTCATCATGGCCGCATTTGATGACCGATGTTATGAACACGTTTCGCTTTTAACTATTTGGATTCCTACAATAACCTTCAGTCGGTTTTTGACATTACAGATATCTAAACTGATAACAAGGCCACCCACAAGGTGCAGTAAGAAATCTATAGTTTACCCCAGGACTTATAAAATGATTTTTCTTTGAAGGTGGACGCTACTTTCGTAGCCTTTCCATTTTTTTTTTTATTCTTGTCTTTTTTAAGAACTTCAAAAAGAAAATTTGGATTTACAAAAAAGAAAAACAAAATCTAATTTTTTTGTTGAATTTTATCCTTAAGTCTTCAAGTAATTAACTAATTATTTATTTGTATATGTATTTATGTAGGTTTTAGTAATTAATTATTACAGTTGTTACATTTTTAAATTACTTTAAAAACATGTTTTTTAAACTAAACACCTTCATTCTAACTAACCCGACATTCGTAAAAAAAAATTATTCAATTAACACTAACAGTGTTAAAAAAGATTTTAGTTTAAACCAGCAACAACATACAATCCACATAACGTATATAAAAAAGAATTAAGAAATCTTTGTTTTTTTATATTTGTGAATTTAAATTTTAGTTAGATTTATTGAACTTTGAACTTTTACATTTCTTTCTTTCTTTCTTGTCTTCTTAACCCAAACCAATGATGTTTTGTCTCAGGACTTTGATGATATTTGGGGGCCAAGGACGTTCATACACGTCCACAAGTTACTTAAGGTTATTTCAGACACAATTACCTTGGTTAGAAGAATTTAGAAATCTCACGAAGAAGAGACAATTTGTGTTCTACAAAAGCAACAACGGTAGAAAGAAATGGAAATTTAAAATCTCCTGTTTTAATGAAAATATATTTGGTAAATTCTTTTTTAAAGGAAAGAATCATTCAAAGTTTTCTTCTTCAGATGGACCTTTTTTATTAGGAAAAGCAGCTGATTATAAAAAAAACATCCCACCATTATTGGACGAATTTTCGTTCAGGAAAAACATGTTGAAAAAGCATGAAGTTCTTTCTTTTGCTTCAAAAACAAAATCTGCTGGTCGCATTTACAAGCGAAATCTTCATCAGGATCTTTGTCTCACATTAACAAGAAGAAGAGAAACAGTACGACATTTAAATGATGAGGATCACTTCTTCTTCCTAAATCGTCGTGGGTTTCACACTTCCAAACCGTCTTTAACGATAGCCAAAAAAAAGGCTGGGAGTATTATACCTTCCAAGTCTTCTCCTTCTTTAAGGGGTTGGTTGACCCTTGAAGGTTACCGCATCTACCCGTGGTCGATATCAGGACTCGAGACTTGTGTCGTCATCAATGCTGAAGATGATAAAAAGCTCGCAGTGACCTTTGACATCGGCTACACGACACGACCCAGTGTTCGTTGCCAGCAGGTTTTTATCAGGTAAGTGATATCAAGAAAATTACCTTCATTGTTACTAACTAATGTTACACATGTTATTGTTTTTCAGGGATGGTTAGTTAGAATGACTGATAAATTTACCAAGTTTATCTTAAATGGGACGGTAGGTTATCTAGTGATCGCAACAAATAAAATAAATTACTAATTAACCCTTCCCCCCCAAACCCTTATTAATAGCTAGACTATGAAACAAAAATAATTAGAAGAAAGACTAAAGGTTAAACAATACTTTAAAAAAATGCAGATAAGAATGGTAATTAATAAAAATTATCTTGTCAATTCTGTTTATATGGCAGTAGTTATCATTTATTTACAATAACCATGGCTACTCATACTACATGGGTGGTATTGGTTTTCCACAGCTTCCCTTTTTGTAGCAATTTTTATTCCCTCTCCCTGGGCTTATGGCTATATCATGTTGAAACATTGGTTCCTCTATGATCACCAAAGTTAACATCAAGCCTGGCCAGTACCTAGATAGTTGACCGCCTGGGATTACCAGGTGCTGTAAGCTTGGATGTGCAGGTGGTCTAATGGATTTTCCATCGTAAGATACAAGCGACGCGCTGTTGCTTGGTTTGATGAGGTAAGTCACAGTATTCTTCGCTATAGTCTCCCACAAGGCCATAAAAGTGGGACCTTGTGAATAATTCATGCAACCTTCATGTTAACACTCTTCATACTGTAGGCTGTCATTTAGGAGTTATTTACTATAGTTAATTGAGTACAAGGCTACAGTATTAGACACCCGGTAAGAATCCAATTTACTGCATAGTAAACAGGCATTTAGTATTAATGGAATATTTTCCAAGTGATATGTGCTATATCTAGTCTGAAAATAGACAATCTCAGCATTTCAGATCTGGTTTAACTTTCTGACTATATTTCTGCGATGAGGTATTGTAATAATTTACACAATTTACATTGTTCAGACTATTGTCCTCATCTTTATTGCCATATTCACAACATTTGTATGCTCCAGCCTTCTTCAGGTGATTGGAATTTAAAACTGACCTTTATTTTGTCCACTGGAGTAGGTTATTCTACTTCCACTTGCCATGCCTCTTCCAGATGTCTCGGCATCAGTTAACACCTTTTAATTTGACTTTCTAGGTTTTTGTTCCAGGTATTGAACATACAACTCTTTGGGTCTAGTTGTTGGATTCAACCAACACTTTTATCCGCTCGGCCATGTGTCCTGGTCTAACTTTGTCCTAGTTCCAAATATTTGCCAAGTTTGGATCATTTAATCAAAATTTGCACATGTTTAATCATGAGCTTTCAGCTGATTAGTTCTGGAGGCTATTAATCAATTATAAATTAAATTAATTATAATTTACTCAATCCACTAGGCTATCAAACATTTTAATCCACAAAGCTATTGTCCCACAAAACAACACTTTAATCTATGAAGCTATTGTAGGACAATAGCCCAAGTGGATTAAAACTTTGGTTTATGAATTTGGTGACAGTAATTGATAGTTCAATCCCTGAGTTGGGCAGTGTGAAAATGGATCAGGCAATAGCTGAGTAGTGCTAATGAGAACTAAATGAGAGATCACTCAAAATGAGTGGTGGAATGAGAATAATCTGTATAGATTAAATAAGAATTCTGTTTGATATTCCCTGTAGGTTGCCTGGATTGGCATATACTTGATGAAAGCCAGAAGACACAATGACCGAAATGTGATAACAACAAAGATGAAGACAATAGCCTGCATATAAATAATGTGAATTAAAATGTAGAATTTTTGGAGTCTTTTCCTAAATATGAGTTTAAAAAAAAAAGTCTTTCTTTTTTTTTTTTTTTTTTTTTTTTTTGTCATCTTTTTTCCCCCCTTTTACAGTGATGTTTGTTCTGTACAAGACATGGGAGCCACTCGAGGTAGTGGGTTACAGAGTAAGAGGCACAGTTTATGCAGATATGTTGGGAAGATTACAATTAATCTTAGATTTGAACAGGTTAAGATTGTAGTGATTGGGAAAACACTCTCTTGGGAGTCAGTTCCACAAAGCAGTAGTCCATGTAAAGAAGCTGCTCAAATGATACTTACATCTCACCAATGGAATACAAAGGGAATAAAGGTGGTTTATGGCATTGGGGGGGGTCTTAGCCATGATGGTTAGAACTGATGGAAATAAGGAATGTAGTTTGTCTGAGCACTTTCTATGGAAATAGTGATAGAGCAGTAAGAGGCTTGCAATGTTTTGTTTGTGGGGAAAGGGGTTGTAGGGTGGAAAATAATTCATTACCAACAAGGATGTCGAGATGCTTTTGAACTCTATCAAGACAGGAGAGTGAAGACTGTGCAGCTGCAGCCTATATATGGTAGTTGTAGTCTATTTTAGGCATGATTTACTCTTGAGGTAGAGGTTAGCATGAGGAGTCAGGTACAGGAAACTGACCATTTTTCTAGCACTTGAGGTCTGGATTGAGTCAGACAGTTTTTCTGCCACTGAGGTATTAGATCTAGGTCAGAGGAGAGATTAGCTGCCAATTTCTGGTCATTGAAAGTTTTGGAGGTGTGTCCACAAGTTGTATCATCAGCATAGATATTCACAAAAGCTTGTTCTTCAACTTGACTGTAAATTTAGCTTGATAAGCATATATTTCTTTCTTATCTGATCAAACTCCAAGCCTCACCGAAGCAGGAAAATAAGAGATTTATTTTTAACCATAAAAATCCAAGGCTCCTCCCCTCCTTCCTCTTGAAATGAGTCAAAATCCACTGAAAACCTTCACCCTAGCAAATTGGGATCTGGTCTTATATAAGCACTATGTTTTCTTTGTTTTTGAAATCACCAATTTAAAATGTTTGTTTTTTAGATGTATTTTTTACTTCTTTCCCTTTGATTTTTCTAATTTTATTATCATTATCATCCTATTATAACTGTGATTGTCCTTGCTATCGTTAGTTTGCATGACCATTACGCCCTGCCAATATCTCATAAATAATGGACTATTCTGTTAGACACTACTTGATTTCAGTAAGAAAATGAAAGAAGCAAAAATAGAAGTGTAGAGAGAGAATGAGATTAAGCTGATAAGAACAGATACTACACTTTGAGCTTAGCCCAAAACCTGAGATGCAATAGTGACCACAATGAAAGTACCATTTCTCAGATGTACAATATTGAACAATAGAACCCAAGAAAGGCAATTGCCAAAAATTCAGTGACCATAAATAAAATAACCTCATTTACGGAATTATTTTAAAATTATTATTAAGAGAAATGTTCATGAGATGGAGATTTAGCTAGCTAGAAAGATAGGAGTGTTTTACACATCTTGCTAATACCTCATAAATAACGGACTATTATGTTTTGATTGTGTAGAAAAACGGGACATACAGTGAGAAAATGGATGAAAGAAAGGAAGATGGTAATGTTTAATGGCTGTTTGAGAGAAATGGAAAAAAATTGTCAATTTCATATCTTTTCATTTGTACTCACTTTTTAAAATAATGACTAGCATTCATATTTATGATTGCTATTGCAATATTTTGTTAATGATGTGATAGAATTTCTATGGAAATTTTATTGTCATAGAGAGCCATACACCATTAGCTTGTTGCAGACCCGGCAGCGTGCAGTGCTGGTTTATTACGAAGTGGCCTTGTGCCAGACACCACACTAAACTACCGAGTCTACAAGCAAAGTAAAAAAAAGATAAATATGTGCGTGAATGAACAGTGAGAGGAAAGAGGTCAATCAACAAGTGCATAAAATAAAATATATTAAGATAGCCGGCACAGAATGACAGAAAAAGACTGGATTCCAACAAGAGTAATTTTTATTAAATGCAGGAAAAACAAGTAACTTATCCCGTGGTAGGGATCAATGAAAATGTTCCGCGCCAAAAATAGAAACAAGATGGCTAAGGCGGAAAGGTTCTTGAAGGAGAAGAAGGTTCCAGATAAGTCAATGTATATGATAATATACATACAAGGAAAAAATACTCACTGCGAGTTTTTTTGCTAATGTGAGTGAAATGTTATGTATATATTTTTTTTTTTTTTGGTACTGGTTCAAAAACAGATTTATGACGAGGCCAAAAGGGATTTAAAAGTCAATACTTGGAGTTGCATCGTCTCGTAGGAGAATTTTTGAATGACGAGCCAAAAAGGACGAGAATTAATTATTTGGTGTTTTTACGAAGTTTCTGCCGTCGACTGTGTCGCGGTCTCTAACGTCTTCTGGTCGAAAACGGAGAAGGTCTGACCTGCGATTAGCAAGTTGTTCGTCAGTAGGATATCCCTGTCTGTATTTATTGGTTCGCTGACGAGGGATAAAAATAAGCCATTATTAGTTGAATACGAAGTTTTGCTCACGACCGTGTCGTGTGTCTCTAACGTCTTTTGGTAGAAAACGGAGAAGGTCTGACCTACCGGGCAGCTTCAAGACGAGAAGAAGTCTTGGTAGAGTGTGAAGTCGCCATTGTTGAAATAAGATATTCCGGCCCGCATATGGGTTAAGGGCACGGAATAAATGAGTTGCCCATCTAGTCGGGTCGAAAGTTGAGAGGCAACTGCTTGCAAACGCTAGCAGTTTTGAAACGCCGAAAAACGCACGGGAAAATTCAAAATCTGTTATGAGTCCATCAGTAGGAGCTAGCGAGGTTACTGCTATGTTTAGCTGTGAGTGGAAGGTAGGGGTAAAAACCGCGCGCACACACGCACGAGTGTGAAAGGAAGGGAGGAAACTCGCGCGCGTGTAAAATATAAATGGAATTAATGTGTTAATTCCATAAGCTTATTCAGTCATTAACTAAAGAATTAAGATTTATCAGAAAATTCAATTAGGAAAACTGAAATTTTCACAGGTTTTCCTAGTTATTATTATTATTATTATTATTATTTCTTTGTTGCAATTGTATTTTTTAATTTTGGATTTATTTAAAAATATTTGTCTACAGCTGCATTTATTGGATTTGCAATCTTACTGGTCATTTTGGTAACTAACAAGTCTGTTAAAGACTGTCTTTAGTGTACCTATTTTAAAGTGAGTCCCTGAGGGGTGGGGGCTTTATTGTGACAGGAATAAATTAATTTTCTGCTTGATTTTTAGGTGATAAGAATTTTTACAACTTGTATTAAGTTGAAAGTTAATAGTTAATAATACACTAACAGTTTCCTAACCCCTACCAAAATAAAAATATATTTGAAGTCGACCATACACCTATGACCCCACCAACGTCTCATTGTTCTTCATTTTAATTTTCCTTCTATTATTGATCCCTTTTTATATATATATATATATATATATATATATATATAATGTCTCCACCCAAATTCTGCCTAATTTTTTTTTATTTTTTTATTCTTGTTTTATTTCTTTATTTGAAAGTTTTTTTTTTCTCCACTCAATAGGATTAGATGAGTTCACACTCTTCCCCAGTCTTTTTGAACAGGTGTAGAGGTTTATCCCTTGTTTCTCTGTTTAGGATTAGGTTTCCAGTTCCTTCTAAAATTTTGTTATTCTCTTTCATTCCCCTTACGTTTAAGTGGCATTATTGGTTGAGTGAAAATTTAAGAAATTTTCACAGGTTTTTATTCTTATTATAGGTTGGCCTATCATCTTGTTACCACTCTTCTCTAGTCTTTTGAACAGGAGTAGAGGTTTATCCCTTGTTTCTCTGTTTAGGATTAGGTTTCTGGTTCCTTCTAAAGTCTCCTCTTGTGTCTTAGTGACGTTATCATCTTACTTGGGAGTGAATTGATTTAAAAATAAACTGTTTGAAAAGAATATTTGTTTTTTAATATTTGTTTTTTTTTTTTTCTTTCTTTCTTTTTGCCAGTCATGGTCATATGGATCACGTCTCTGGCCTGTTTCAACATGCCACTAAAAGAAGTTTGTATAATCTGTCTCCTGCCGTCTACTATGTCCCACCAAATCTGGTTGAGACGCTACGTAATGTGGGAAAACAGTTACATTCTCTCTCTGGGACACCAGACATCTTGCTGGATTTAGATATCCGACCAATTCAGCCAGGTGACAGTGTTTTGGTAAGTAACATCAGCCTCCCCAGAATTGATCTTATATATCTATGTCTACTATTTGTCCATGCTTAGAATATTACTGCCACATATGATCCGGTGCTCCTGCTATTTACCTTGAGCTCCTTGATAAGATCCAAAGAAGAACCTGCAATATTATTAGTCCTGGTCTGGCGACTCGGATTCAGTCATGTTCCTACCACCATGAAGTTACCTCTCTGTATCTTTTTGATAAATACTTTCATGGTAATTGTTTGCATGAGCTCATCACTATGGTACATAGTTTATGAATTTAAGTGCAGTATTAGACTGGCATCAAGATCTCATCAACTTACAGTTGAGCTGGCGAGGTGTAACCATAAATTCTATATTGACAGTTTCTTTTCTTGCACATCTTGCTTGTGGAACTCTCTTCAGCTCTATGCTTTCCAGCCAACTTTAATCTGCAAAAATTTAAATGCAATGTCTATTGCTATCTACCATCCACCTGATTACTCTTTCCTCTTCCCGCTCATTATTAATGTTTCTGTAACTAATTCTTCCACCCCCTGTAAACCCTTGTGTTTTAGTTCACTTGCTGCTTTGCATGGGGTGATACTGAATTATTATTATTTTTTTTATCACTGCCATAAACAGACAAAAATTAGTTTTATTATTACCACCCATGATAATAAAAAGTAAAAATGAAAAACTGGCTAGCTAACTCTAATTACCACTTAAAAGTATTGGAGGCCATCTATATTCTATTATTAAAACCTTCTCTATGTAAACAGAAGGACTTTGTATTAGGCCTCCAACTAATTACCATTTAAATATTTTTTTTTTCCACCAATACACTTTGTCCATTGTTTATTTTATTTTATTTTTTTTTTATATATAATTTACTCTATTTACCTCGATTTAGCTCTGTTGAGTGAGGTATGAATCCAGTTAGTTGGCCCGTTTTTCATTTTTACTTTTTATTATCCTGAGTGGATAATAATAAATAAACTAATTTTTGTCTGTTTATGGCAGTAATAAAATTTTGTACCACCAAACATATCTTTATTTACTAATTTATTTTTTAAAAAAAAAAACTGAGCTAGGGAGGTCTATTGCCCAGCCCACACTCCTTCCATGTTTATTGAAAATGAATAGAGCATTATCCCTTGTTTCCTGGTTAGGATGGAGTTTGCTGGTTCTTTCTTCTGTCAGGGTCATAATGATTTAACTGTCTTAACCTTTTGATGATCAGACTAATTATTGTCTGTTACTTTCCATTATCATGGAACCAGGTTAGCAGTTTTCTAGATGCTGCATCCCGACTGATAATAAGCAACTGAGACTCTTTTGTAGCACTTAGAGAGTCTGCTATGATCAACAGTTGCATGTTATCAAGGCATCTGCTCTGCCATGTTGCTCATGGGTAAGTGTTGCTGCATGTATTTCTGGTGGGTGACCCTGAGACCCATATTTTGTCTTAGCCACATTTCTGGCTAGTTTGTATCGCCAGTGATGATGGTGATATTTGTTTTGGCTTTATCTTTTTTTTTTTTTTTTCTCAAAACAATTTCTTTTTATGACAGATACAATGAAAAGAAATATGAGAAAGCCTGTAAACAAAAAAAATCCTGTACATCCCTCAACCTTTTTTTTTTCAAATATTCGTGGTATCCATTCTTTAATGTAAAATCGTTTCTCTTGAAAGTCTCCAGATATCTTCACGCTTTGTAAAACTAATTCTTTTATTGCTACCAATGAATTCTCTGTTTTTATCTGGTTATGAATGACTGCAAAAATCTTTCTCCTCCTCAAGTTATAGGCAAAAAACCACACAAATGCATGCTGGGATTTCTTCCCAGCCAATAATATAGGCCACTTCTTGGTCTCTTCTGACTCAGTCCTAGTCTGTCTTGTCAGAATGTCGTGGTCGTTAATATGAATTTTTTCTTGTGTGTTGATCCCAATTCTTAGTTTGAACTTTTTGCTATATTACTGTTAACCTTGCTTTATTACTCTTAATTTGTCTTGCATATATTGTTTGCTTGCTTTATATTATTTTTTGGTCCCTGTTCTTTTTTTTCTTGTTATTGTTTATTACAAAATTAGTCAATTCTGTTTGTTGGGTAGTTCTACTACTTACATTTAATCATGGCCACTTAACTCCACTCCTTTTTGTTGAAAAAGATACATACACATGACCTTGGTTTTTATATTCAGGAAACTCTTCCAATGGCAAGAGAATTGTCTCTTGAGTCCCCAGATGATTCTTTCAAGTGCTTTACTGTGTTATTGCTTTGTGTTAGTTATCTCTTTGTTCCTTCATTACTTTCCATCGTCTTAGGACTACAATATATTTGACAAAATTTCTTACATAAATAGCTCTCTCTCTATATCCGTCTGCGAACATTTTTGTGTTTGCTGACTTTAATGTTCATCATGTCAAGTGGCCTAGTCATTCTAATATTACTGATGTGGCTGGTATTAATACTTACAATTTTCCTTTACTTAGTATCTTACTCAAATAGCGGATTTCTGAACTTGTTTCCCTAATAAGTCTGATTAACATGCTTCTTTCAGTTATCAGCATACTGATTGGGATTCATTTTTTGACTTTCTTCAAAATACCCCTAGAATTGGTACTCTTAACCTTCCTATTGAGAATTGTGCCACAGATGTTTCTTTCCAGCATTGATGCTTTCGTACCTTCTTGGCAACATGAGGAAAAACCACAATCTTCATGGTTCACACTGGCCTGTTCACATGAATGACTTTTTTCTGGCTATACCAGTATAACAGTTCTGATCACAAAATATGCTTATTTGTGCCTGCATGTAATAATTGTGTTCTCAAAGGGGCTAGGTCTTTGTTTGCTGATAGAATGAAGCACTATATAACCTCTAACAAGTTTGGCTTTCCAGGCTACTGGTTGCTGTGTAATAATATCTTTAGCATGCTAAATTCTTTTTAGAATTGTTCCCCCTGCCACTGCATATTATTATTATTATTATTATTATTTATTTATTTATTTTTTTTTTTTTTGAGGGTGTAAAATGATGAATACCTAATGTTTTTAAACTTTCTTTGCACTGTATGTATAGATTTTAATTTTTGTATACTAATAAAAGAATAGATAAGTAATATTTTGATGTATTATGTAACACATTACGTTTTGCATGCAGATTTTGATGTTGAAAACAAAAAAATTGAAACGCAAAATAAAATACAAATACATCCTAAATTAAACATACTTTAACTTTTGATAAGTTAGAAGCCATTGTTAAAGTGCAAGTTAATACTATCAAAAGTTTGCAATGCAAAGAAAAAAATGTCTAAAAAAGATGAAATGACAACAATCATGCAAGCAAGTAAACAAACAATATAGTTAAAGGAAATTGAAATTAATAAGAAGTCAAAAAAAAAATTTACAAACTAGGAGTTGGTGTTTGTACACAAAATTGAACACAGTATGTCTGTCTATTAGCTAATGCAGATCTGGACTGCGTCATGTCAAAATGCAAGCTGTCCTATCTTATTGGCTAAGAAAAATATCCCAGCATGCATTTTGTGTCCTTCTGAAGGTGAGGGGGAAAACTTTTGCAATCTTTCCCATTTCCATTGGGCAATCAACAACTTTTATTACTTCTTATGGAGTTTTGAGTTGCAATTAGAAGCAAAATGACCAAGAAGGTTTTCATTTCATCAAAACCATGATGTGCTTCCTTGTGTTTGCACATTGGGGAAAACATCAGCATTTGTTTGCTCTTTCTTTCATCTGACTAGCACACTTATTGTCTTGTTGACAAATAAAGTTAATATTTTGTTGTTTATAAATAGCTGAAATAATTCACCTTCAGAAAGGCTATCAGGTACATTCATGGGACTAGTAGCTTCCATAAAATTAGTCAGCCATGGATGATAGTACCTAGTGGTCATCATCGCTTTTCTCCACATCACTAATGTGGTTATCAACTTTGACCACTTCACTGTCAATATCCACTTGAATAAAGCCTTTAAAATTATCATCAGTCCAAATCAAAGAAAAACTCCTGAATAAAGGTTTTGTTGGATGTTGATGCATTCATTTTTGTTTACAAAAAATTGTGAAAAAATTGATATGGGTTTCATCGATGTTACACCTCATGTAGAGTTTAGAAGAATTCAAAATGGCATTGGAAATCCAAAGTTTAATCTCATTCCAAAGCCGTAGTAGGTGATTTCCAGCTTAAAATATTGGAAATGATAGTTGACAAGTGTTTATTTATAGCAACTGTCTCAAGGCAACAGAATGTGCCTAGAGCTGCAAAGGGAGACAATTCTATGGCAAAATTTTTGCATCCAGCCTGGTAAAGATTAAATAAGAGTAAGTCTTCTATCCCTCCTCTGTTCACTCACTTTGAGGTGTTAACATCTACTAATAAAGCAGAATGTTTTACTTGTAAATTCTTTACAAATTCTACTCTTGACTAATCTGGAGGTATCTTTGCCTGACTTTCCACTTAGAACCGAGTTTAGAGTGATATGCATATAACTCCTTTCATGGTTTTTGCTATAATCTCCAAACTGGATCTCTACAAAGCATGTGGACCTGATATTCCTGTAATAGTCTTTTAAGAAATGTCCTCCTTAACTGGCTTCTGCTCTCTCTAAAATCTACAATAAAATGCCTGATTGCTTGTTTTCCTGCTTTTGGGAAATCCTCTTCTGTGGTTCCAAGCTTTAAGAACTCTGGACTTTTTGATGCTTTTATTAGTCTTCTACCACTTCTTGGCAAAATACTAGAGGCCCTAAATTACTCTGAATTGGTTAAACATCTTACATTGAAAGATCATTTTTCAAATAAGTAATATGGTTTTTGCTTGTAGGTCAACTGCTGATGTATTTATTATTGCTGAATGAGTTTATCAAACTTTAGATGAAAATGTTGAAGCATCGACTATTGCTTTGGACATCTCAAAAGGCTTTGACAAGTTGAAAGGTTATTGTATTTCTTGACAAATTTCTGAACTGATTTAGTCTTTCTTATGAAAATTGTCTTGAACAGTCACTTTTCTATTCGATCTTTTTGCATTGATACCAGGTCTCCTTGCACCTACGTTGTTCCTATTGCAGATCTTTACTGTGGATCTTTGCAATTTAGAAAGTGAATACAAAATCCTTAAGATATTTGGATAAAGAAAGAAAGAAATCCTATTTTTTGCACTTTGAAATAGTGACTTGTCTGTTCCTAGCAGGACCCTTGTAGATAAACAAAGTGCTAATAGTCCTCAAAGTTGATGGTCGAGATATCCATAGTTCCTCATCTGTTAAACCAAGTGCTAATAATCCTCGAAGATGATGGTTGAAATATATCCGTAGTTCATTAATATAATAAAGTAGGTTAAATCCACCGTTTCCTTCGGTTTCTGCCTTTACTGCTCCATGGGGGAGATAAAGTACAGGAGTTGATATCCATCTCTCTTGGTTGCTGTATCTCAACTGGTGAGTATTCAATTTTGGCACTTCTGTGTCTCTTTGTGGTCATGTCATCTGCTATGGGTTTGACATGCATGAAATCAATAATCTCATCACACGGTAATGTTGCTGCTGTGGTGTGGGGACATACACTCACACTCTTTCACCATATGTCCATATGCATTAGACTGAAGAGGAAAGAAAGAAAAAAAGAAAGAAATGAAGCAATGTTTTTAACTATAAGTTTAGTCTTTCTTCCTCTTTTTCAATTTGTGAGTCATATTACACAGCGCAAAAGACATAATAATGCAAAAAGTCCTCAAGGACACATGACACAGTGGATAACGGTGTTAGTTACATCCAGTGACAGGACCCAAAGATTGTGAGTTCAATACCTGGTTAAGGCATTGGAGAACTTTCAGAGGGAAATTAACAGGAGATAACTGATAACTGACATCCATCAAACATGGCACGTGAAACTAGAACAGTCTACCCCAGTAAGCGAAATCAAGGTTTCAGTTCAACATTCCAACTACCTGAAGAAGCCTGGAGCATTCAATGGCCGAAACGTTGTAATAAATATGGCGACAAAGATGAGGACAATAGTCCAAATAATGTAAATAATGTATATAAGAATCTATACAAGATTTTCTTAACATCATACAATTATACCAATAATGAAGAATACTGTGAAAAGAATGCAAATACATTTGCTGAGCCAATTCAATTTCTTGATGACAGAAGTCTGTTTTTTTTTATTATGAGAGAAGCCCCTGACAATGTTAGAAAAGCATTTCAAACCAAAATTAATTTCCGTCTATGCTAAATTAAACACCTTATGAAAAACAATGAGAATATTACAGATTAGGTTATTAGGGCAAAAAATGGTGCAACTTTAGAAAAACATCAGAATTGAAAAGTGATAGGTTGCTAATAGTCAGTCCTAAAACGCCTTCTGTACGATTTGAAATGGTCCCAAACTTTTATTTCTCGGAAAGATAAAGTAACCTTCATTAAATTCAAAGTAGCATTACAAAGCTTCAAAGAAACTTTGAGAGAATAACGGTGAAAATACCGTAGTTACGTTTAATTATAAGGGGGCAGAAAATGCTGCAACTCTATTGAAAAGATCAGGAGAAATAGTGACAATAGTGAAAACACTGTAATTACTTTTAAGATGCAATGGCCAAGTTAGAAAATAATAATGTCCTCACTTGCTAAATATAGTAAAACAGGCCATGAAAATGACAAAGTAAAAATTGCAGATTTTTGGTAAGTATTTCCCCCTGAATGAATCCAATTACAATTCTTCATTTGGTCTCTTTTGAATTGTTTAGTCCTTTTCAATTTCTTTTAGATTAAAAACATTTTAAATTCAGTTCTCTTGAAAGTAATACCCACACAAAAGTTTGAAAATTCCTTTTTTCTTGGTAGGTTACACCCGAATATGAAATACGTCCATTTGCGACTTTCCACCGTGTTCCCAGCCAGGGTTACCTGTTGTACCATCGCTACAAACGCTTGAAACCATTGTATCGACATCTGAGACCAAAAGAAATTGCTGTGATGGAAAACCAGTGCAGAGAGGAAAATATTTATGAAGTGTCATGGCTACCAGAAGTCGCTTTCACAGGTATACTTTGAAAAGAGGGTGTGTTTTTGCTTAGGCAAAACAAGGTTTGGAACACTCTTTAAATTTAAGCATTTTTACATGCATATATATATATATATATATATATATATATACACACACACACACTTAAAGTGCCAGAACCTATCTATCTAGGTTTCACCTACCAGATCTTCAGGATATTTCTGACAAAAGAGGGTTGGCCCAAACAGCATTTTATCAATAAAATGTCATTTGGGGCAACCCTCTTTATTCAGAATTATTGTGATGATCCAGAAGGTGAAACCTAGGTAAATAGGTTTTGGCTCTTGAGATGTTCTAATTTTGCTCTACTTAGTGTATTGAGCACTTTTATGTATCAGCTTAGGTAACTCTGTTAGTGTTTTTTTTTTCTTTTGGTTAGAAAATGAAATGAAAAAAAAACACACACACACACACACACATACATATATATATATATATATATATATATATATATATATATATATATATATATATATATACACACACACACATACATATATATATATATATATATATATATATATATATATATATATATATATATATATATTAACTTATTATTAACCCAACACTCGCCTACCCAATTTAAACAATTCGCCCTAGCTGTTACCATGGAAATTTTGATTTCAATTTTTAAAACACGTAAATTTCAGATATACGTTATTCCAAAAAAAATTTTGCTTGAAGATGGAACAGAGCCTATTTTAACTCAATTTTAACTCAAATAATTATATTGAAGTTTTCGGCTCTTGTTTTGAAACATGAGACTTATGTAGCGTTTTGGAATCATATTTTTAAATAAATAATTATATTTATGCTCTACATTTGTATCGAGCACTAATCTTAAAAAATAATAACTAAAATACTAAGGGACTTTGGATTATTTACCTAACCAGTTCCTTCCTATTTTCTATAAATTTTCACATATATATATGCAATGATGCTGTTTTAATGTTAATGTCAACGTCGGACGTTTCGGTCTAGTAGACCATCTTCAGGACATATTCATAAAACATAATTAACATTAGACTATATTTAAATCTATGCCTCATAAATCTTAGGTGGATTTATGAGACAGGCATAATATCTATCTCACGCACGGTGAATACTAGACCTGGCTTCTTTAATATTTCCCCTTTTCTAGCAAGATTAATGCTCGACAAACGTGCATGTAAGTTTTAGATTAAAATAAAATTCTTTTTATTTTTCATTCAAAATACTCTATTTTAGGAATACGTTTTCACAACATCGCCCACGTGACGGTGACGTGATCATATTGAAACAGAATGCTGATTTTGAAAAAAAATTTCAATTATCTGTTTTTGATTAGTCTTACTCTTATGTCCATCGTCTTTTCATGTTGATTTAAATATAGTCTAATGTTAATTATGTTTTATGAATATGTCCTGAAGATGGTCTACTAGACCGAAACATCCGACGTTGACATTATATTAACATTAAAACAGCATAATTGCATATTAGGATTTTTGTTTGTTTTTTTCGTATATTTTTCTTTATACTGTTGGATCTATATCCATGTATTTGCTTACATACATACATATATATATATATATATATATATATATATATATATATATAAATATATAAATATTTTTATGTTTATACATTCTTTTTATAGATACAAATATTTAAGTAAATGCTCTGTTTTATAATAAACTGTATTAAACAACATTTACTGGTCTGAATGTCCGAGAAATTTTCTTAGAAAACTTTTGTCCTCCAGCAGGAATCGAACCTGTATCCTGTACGGAACTGTCATATAGCCTGATGTGTCGGAGGACGAAAATTTCTCGGACATTCAGGCCAGTAAATGTTGTTTAATACTGTTTATTATAAAACAACATTTACTCAAATATTTGTATCTATAAAAAGAATGTATAAACATAAAAATGTCTTTAAATAATTGTAGGACTTTGTCCATTTCATAATGTGCGACGTCATTTGTTTACATTTGATTCACCATGAGCAGATATGAATGTACGTGAGAGATTCATGGAAGGTTAAAGTTTAAAGACAGTAAAAAAATCGACCTTGCTAACCAAACGCTCCTCTGTGGCTGAAATAGTTAAAGGCATGTCAGGCTATATGACTGTTCCGTATAGGATACAGGTTTGATTCCTGTTGGAGGACGAAAATTTTCTATGAAAATTTCTCAGACATCCAGGCTGGTAAATGTTTAATACTGTTTATTATAAAAACAGAGCATTTACTTAAATATTTGTCTCTATAATTGTCGGACTTTGTCCATTTCATTATTATATATATATATATATATATATATATATATATATATATATATATATATATATATATATATTTTTTTTTTATTTTTAACATACAACATGTGTTAGCATGTGCAATACCCTGTCTTCATCAACCGCTGACCAGGGGTGATGTCACAGTTTTGGTGTCTATGGTGGGACCGCCATCCCTGGCGCCTCCAGCAGTGTTTGCCACCAGGCAGGGTATGAAGATAAGCTAACTAATTGTTCCTCTTTGGAAATTCTCGTAATGAAATAAACAAAATGATTGTTCCTCTTTGCAGCTTCTATCCATAATGAAAGTTTCCAGAACGCGTTTGCTGTTATTGACACGCTTGTAAAAATCGTTATAGACAACCATGCAAATATTTCACTTGTTAGGTCGTGATGTTGCACACATTTTATTTGCTTGTTGTTTTGATCTCGACCAAATCCAACTTGATGCGTGCTGAACTGTTGTTTGAATGCAATGCGAAACACTTTTCAAACAATGGCCAGTGATGCCTATTTTTGAAAGGAAAGAAATGACTAAATGTTCCAGAAACCCACGACACCCAATCTCAATAGGCATCATGTTACACATCCAAGCATTTTGTACTGTTATGTGAACTAACTTTTCACAAAAGTATACATTTCATTTTTACACTAGTGTTTCTCAAAAACACTAAGTATTCCTACTAATTAACTTCCAACACAACACTTTTACACTGAGAAACCCTCTCAACAATACATGATTTTTGTAAACTTTAATTTCACGTACCTTTCATTACATTTTCATAGTTCTGTGTAGTTGGAATAAAATCCGGTGTTTTTCTGAACGTTGAACTTCGAACAATTTAGTAAAAATCCATGTAATTCTTAGAAAATCCTTGTAGACAAAAATGTTTTGTAGCTTTGGTAATTATTACATGAGTTTTGTCAATATCTTCATTCGTAGGATATTGAATCTGTGAACATTTATGTGAGTTCTGTTTTGCCAAAATCTTTGTTTGTCAAATGTTGTACTGGTGAACATTTACTTGATTTCAGCCAAATCCTCATTGCCAAAATGTTAAAACTTAGAAAAGGTTACTGAATAAGAATAACCAAAACGAAGGTTGGAAATGAACAGTAATCTATATATGTTAACAACATACAAGATTTGCCAGTGGTGTGTAGTAAGTAATCCACTGACTGCTAGTGGTGAATCCCCCAGACAGTGTTCATGAGGATTGGGTCATACCCGTTATACTCCATAGGTATGGTATAGCGCTAATCATAAATGAAAAGCTCAATACAAATCATTAAACAACAAAGATTTTTTTAAAGAATTTTAAAAATTTCTTTTTAAGTGTATAAACATGCCTGTTTTTGTCAGGAAAAAAAAAATGAGCATACATAACATTATCAGAAAGAGCGATGACTATAGTAAATTTAAATTCAACATTTCTAAAATTAGATTATGGCAAATACTTAGAATTTTAAAGATTACTAAGTATTTAAAAATTATGTAAAAATGGTAGAGACAACATTTTCTTAAATTCTGTTTTACAGATAAAGTCTCTGTAGAACAACATTAAACCTGCTGTCAGGCTGTCACAACAAGTATTATCGGATTAAACACAGCTGCTGTTGGGTTAAAAAATGCATTTCTGTGATATTTTAAACTTGAAGTAAATAATATTTGTTTCAAATCAGATTAATTATAGTTTAAATCTGCTAATATTCTTAAAATAAAGTTTCAGAAAAGCATATTTTACTTTTGGAAGATTTTTTATAATAAAGAGAATTACATTGCAATGAAAGACAACTAAAAAAGGGGGCTAATCAGCTATTTTAGCAAAAAAAAAAAAAAATCCGACAAAATCAGCCATTAAAAAAAAAAAAAAAATCTGTTTCCAGCCAATTAGTTTTTGAAAAACAGCAACGTATTTTGATTATGTGGAAATATTAAATTTAATTCATTAGCTTGAAATTAAAAGTAAAATAAAAGCCTCAAGAATAATTTTTCATTTTTTTAAATTATTTTACACCTTAGGTATTGCATTTTTTTTCTGTTTTTTTTTTTTTTGTGGCAGTACCTCTATTTATATATATTTATTGATGAATTTTTCCTCACTTCTTATTCTTATGTGGAAGGTTTTAGGGCAGTGGTTAGCCACATCCAGTCCATGAAGGTTTTTTTGTCCAAACTGCCAACATAACTGTAATATGGAAATTGCATTTTTTATTGTATTATCCTGTTATTCTTGCAGTAAAATAAGGGAACTTTTTTAAATAATATAACCTTAACACTGATGGGTTTTTTTTTTTTCTTTAAACCTCCAGATGAAGGAGGCCTCCTGGATGGAGCAGTCTGGGGTCGAGACAATTTATTATAGTACATTTTATATCATGGCTCTCATCTGAGACACTGCATAGATTTCTGGCCCGCTCCAAAAAGGAGCTGACCTCTGTGTTAGGAGAACAGGAGTCTTAGGTGATTTTTTTTTGTTTCTTTTGGAAAGTACATTGAAATTTTAGTCTGCTTCCACCTCCCCAACCCCCACCCATCTTCATCTCTTTTAAAATATTTTCATACACTGAAATCTCTTCTTCCAATTGGTCTTTTACTTTCAATAAACGTATCAACGACGGGCCCATATCATAAATAATTTAGCCTCGTCCATTACACTTCTTATCCTTTAGAATGCTGCAAGCGAATATTGTCGCTGTAGA